CCATCAGCCGTAGGTGTGCCATAAGTGATTCAGGCTCTCATTAGCCCTAATTAGCAAATTGCTCAAATGATTTCTCTGTTATTCCTGGAGCCTGTACCACTGAGCACAAACCCATTCACTAGAGAAGTGCTTGCTGTAAAAAACCTGTGCTTTTCCAGGGTAATTCTCCCACAGGGATCAATGTGTCCATCACAACCCTCCAAGATCTTCTGTAGCTGTTGAAGCCCCTTGGGATACTCTGCTGTAAAGCCCCATGGTTAAACACTGTGGCTGCATAGAGAATTTCAGTATCCCCATATTGCTTTCTTGCAATACTACCCACAAAACTGGTAACTTTTCAGCCATCTCCTCCAGTCGAGCCCCAGGTTGCCTTCCCACCTGAGGTGGGTGAGTGTGCTCCCTCCAAAACAGAGATTTCATTTCCTTCTGATCCACAAGGAGACAGCAAACAGGAATTAGAGGGATAGACTGCATTTTTTTTTTCTTTGCTACAGAGTTTGGTCTCCTTCTTGGTGCAGACTACAGAAGGTTCAGTGATTTAAATCACTAGCCTGGGACTCCAGATCCTGCTTCCACAAACTTCAGGGTTGACCTTGGCAAAATCTCTTAGGCTGGAATTTCTCTTGCCTGAAAATAGCCCTCTAAAAGCTCAACAACCAGGCTCCCTCTGCAGCCAGTGGAAAGTGAGGGACAGACACCTTTTTTCACATCTCAGACAGGCATGTGAGAACAGGGACATGAATCACTCTCTGGAGATACCAGTGTATACCTTTCTGTATTGGCTGCAAAGGGTTCTCACTGACTATTTTGCATTTAACCCTTGACCATTAAATTATGTGAGCAAGGACAATAATTTTAAAAATATACAGGTCACATGTCTCATTTTCAGAGGGAACTAAGAAGTTCAGCCTTGCAAATGCAGGTTTCAGAGACTCTGAAATGATGTTTCTGCTTTGTAAAACCCAACAGTAATTTTCCTGGCGAGGTTTAAAATGAGCATGAGATGTTCAGGTACTATGAAGATGTAGACACAAGCACCCAGCATTTACTCTCCCTACTGGTAAGCTGCACTCTGTTGGTGGTGGTGGATGTGGTGCACAGCAAAGGGACTACTTTTACCAGTGCATCCCCAAGACTTCAGAATCTTGAGAAATGTTCCAGTCTCCTTTATGTGGATCCATTGCAGCTGTCTGAGCCCACCTCAACTCTTGAAACTTTTTGGAGAAGTCTCCTGGAAGGAGTAGGAGCAAATAGACAAAATGGGCAACACTGAATATCTCTGATATCAGCCACACCTTCTAAATATTAATATTAACCTCTGGAAGAAATGTAACCTCTGCGACAGCCACGTGCTGGCCTGGCATTGCTCTGGAGTCTCTTCCCATATCTTGTTGACCCTAGCCCCTGTGTCCCTCCACAGGAGGAATCCGGTGTTTGGCTGAAGCACCCAGGTTGAGCTGTCAAAGAGAAGAACAGGAATTTTTGGAGGGCAGTTCTGAGCTGAAATGGATTTATTTCCATCTGAAGGTACTCAGGGCTGCCTTGACTACCAGAAAGCCCAGGGCAGCAACGCATCTTGCAGAGTCAAGTCTTTATGGGATTAATTCAGGCACAAATACCTGGTTTTCCAGTAGGACTTGGCCTCTTTCTAACTCAGAGGGATGCAAGTTCACGATATCTGACCACAGCACATTCCCTCAGCCTAGAGAACGCACAGGAGGAGAAAGGAACTCCTGCTCTGTGCTTCCTACACCAATGTCCTCCTGGCTAGTCACAAGGAACTAGCCAAAAGTGAGAGTCACCAAGACCACCTTAACTGAAACAAGAGACAGGATTCAGCAAGAAAAAGAAGATGGACAATAAACCATTTATTTCTTCTTTAGAATCACAGAATCATATAATGGCTTTGGCTGGATAAAACTTTAAAGACCATCCAGCCCAACCATTCCCCCAGCCCTGCCCAGGCCACCCCCGCCCCATGTCCCTCAGCACCACATCTACACGGCTTGGAAACCCCTCCAGGGATGGGGACTCCAGCCCTGCCCTGGGCAGCCTGGGCCAGGGCCTCACAACCCTGGCCAGCAAGAAATGCTGCCCAACATCCCATCTCAGCCTCCCCTGGCACCACTGCAGCCCATTTCCTCTTGTCCCATCCCTTGTTCCTGGGGAGCAGAGCCCGACCCCCCTGGCTCCAACCTCCTCTCAGGCAGCTGCAGAGCCAGAAGGTCTCCCCTCAGCCTCCTTTGCTCCAGCCTGGACACCCCCAGCTCCCTCAGCTGCTCCTCCTCCCCCTTGTGCTCCAGACCCTGCCCCAGCTCCCTTGCCCTTCTCTGGACACGCTCCAGCCCCTCCATCTCCTTCTTGTCCTGAGGGCCCAGACCTGACCCCAGGATTCCAGGTGCCCCCTCCCCAGGGCCCAGCACAGGGGGACCAGCCCTGCTCCTGCTGGACACACCAGTGCTGACACAAGCCAGGATGCTGGTGCCTTCTTGGCCACTTGGGCACTCACTGGCTCATATTCTGCTGCTGCCAACCAACACCCCCAGGTCCTTTTCCTCTGGGCACTTTCCAGCCTCTCTTCCCCAAGCCTGGAGCATTGCCTGGGGTTTTTGTGACCCAAGTTCAGGACCACTTGGCCATATTGAACCTCAGATAACTGGCATTGGCCCCCACTGATCCAGAGCCGATCCTTCCTACTCTTGAGAAGATCACCACTCCTACCTCACTTGCTTTCTGTCACTTAGCCTTTCCTCACTATTGCATTGTGTGCAGCTGGGCAGAATCTGAGTTCCTCCTTGTTCAGGACCCAATGGGACACTTTTGAGCAAAATGTCCAGGGTGCCTGCTCCTTGCACAGCCTTATCTGCTGTTCTACACCACCCACTGCCTTCTATAGTCTTCCTTCCCCACAGGACGCCATGCAGTTCTACAGGCTTGGGGAGGAGTGGCCAGAAAGCAGAAAGGGACCTGGGGGTTTCTGGTTGATAGGTGGCTGAATATGAGCCAGAAGTATGTCCAGGTGGCCAAGAAGGCCAATGGCATCCTGGCTTGTATTAGAACTGGGAGGTGATCCTCCCTCTGTACTTGGCAGTGGTAAGGTCACTCAGATCCTGTGGGCACCTCAAGACAAGAAAGAAGTGAGGAAAAATGTCTTCACTGTGAGAGTGACAGAGCCCTGGAACAGGCTGCCCAGAGAGGCTGTGGAGTCTCCTTGGCTGGAGACATTCAAAACCCCCCTGGACACGTTCCTGTGTGATGTGCTCTGGGTGACCCTGCTCTGGCAGGGGGGTTGGGCTGGGTGAGCTTTCAGGGTGCCCTCCAACCCCTATGATCCTGTGATCCTGTGTGAAGATTCTGGGAAAGAAGATGGAGTGTGTCCAAAGAAGGGCAACAAAGCTGGTGAAGGGCCTTGAGAACAAGTCTTACTAGGAGTGGCTGAGGGGGCTGTTTAGTCTGAAGCAAAGTAAGCTGAGGGCAGACCTCATCACCCCCTACAACTACCTGCAAGGGCAAAGAGTAAAGAGATCAGCACTGGTCTCCCCTCACAAGTAACTAGTGATGGAACAAGAGCAAATGGCCTCAAGCTGCACCAGGGGAGGTTTAGACTAGACATTAGGAAGAGTTTTTTCACTGAAAGGGTTCTCAGACATAGGACAGTGCTGGAAGGTACCTGTGTCACCATCCCTGGATGTGTTTAAAAGTTGTGGCACTGTGGGATGCTGCTCAGTGCTGGACCTGGGCAGGGCAGGGTTAACGGCTGGACTGCAGCATCTTGAAGGTCTTTTCCGACCTGAGCGCTTCTCATGCTGTTGTGATTCTATGACCACGCCGACTGAGGGCTGCTTGCAGAGGGTTTTCACAGCCACCCACGACTCCCCCGGGTTGCGAAGGGACGAGCTGCCGGCAGGGAGAGCCCCAGCCCTTCGCCCCTGCAACCCCCCCTGTTTCAGCACCCGGAAAAAAAAAAAAAAAAAAAAAAAAAAAACCCAAATCAACACAAAATCACAACAAGCAGGCTCCCACCAGACGGTGGTGCCCGTATTCCACGAAACAGGTGGGTAACGCTGCACAGCACAGCCAGCAGCGCCCAGAAACACGGCCGGGCTTCCAGAAGCCACGGAGCAGCCCCTGCCAGGCTCCCTCGGGAAGCACAGTGGCATTTTTGCAGATGTCACCAAGGTGCGGTGCAGTGTCTTTCCTCTGAAGGCTTTATACCTTAATGAACTTCTTGTGAACAGGGCCCTGCAGCTGTAACAAGGAGTTTGTTAGATCCATGAGCCTGCCTGGATATTCACCTGTTGCCTGAAGAGCACAAAGCCCTGAACCAAGGGGCTTGTCTTTGTCTAAAGCCACATGAGAATGCTGATTTCTTTGATACACGGTCAAGAGCAAACTGGAGTAGCACCAAAATGTTGCAAAGGCAGATGTGGGATGAGGAGTATGGAAAAGATCTCCTGTGGTATACAAATGCACCAGCTCAAAACACCCAAAGGGATGAGGCTTCAGCCTCTCCTTCAGTATTTTCTTGTCTCCTCCTCCTTGGTACTATCCAACTGGCTGCTAAGCTCTACACCAGCAGGGTCCCTCCTTGGTAGCTGCATGCAGGTACTGCTTGGTGACTTGGCAAAAGTTGTGTCCCCTGACCATCCAGAAGCTTGCAACTTGCTGCATCAGGAGCTGGAGTGAGGGTGGGATGCTGCAGGGCACCTCTCTCACCCCCTCTTTCCCCCTGCAGCTCTGGGCCACAGCTGCATGACAGCAGTGGGTCATTTCCTGGTCCTCATCCCCAAAAGGAGACACATCCAGCCCAGGCAGCAGCACCCACCACTCTCAGCAGTGGTTCAGAGAGGTCCCTTCTCCATTAAACCTCCCATCTTTGAACAAGGATAACACCATGGGGCTCTAAAGTACAGCAGAAAGTTGCTAGGGCACAACCCAGGAAGTTTTTTAACACGCTGGTTTTGTGATTCACAGTTACCTCTTGGCACCAGCCAAAAGAGATGGATCTTGGAGAGATCGTTGTGGCTGAACATCCTGGTGAGAGGGAGTTGTACACAGACCAGACATCAAGAGCCCGGGACCTGCCGTGGAAAAGTGGACGTCGGATCCACCACTTTTTTGGATATCTCACAGGGGAAATGAAAGAATATGGAGAGTGGATGAAAAGTAAGCAGAGGGACATGTCAGAGGCTCTCCGACTAGGAAGAGCTAGCTGGGGACATCTGTATTGTTAACCTGATTTCCAGTGCTGGGACAGGAGACCGGGGGCCATTTCACCCCCCTGAGACTTGCAGAGGTGGTGTGGCCTGACCTCTCTGCAAACTTCTGACCTTTTAACCCAAAACATTTTATTCTCAAGAAAGGGATCTCCCTGCATCCTCTTTTCATTAGCCTGGCTACAGGCGTAACTCAGCACAGGCAAAAGACATCTTTTACACTTAATCAGTTATGTGCCATTTACATCATGTTCCTTATAGCAGTGCCCAGAATCACACGTCAGGGCTGGGGATTTAGTCTTGTGTGTAAGTGCTTTGGATCAGCGACCGTCTCATCTGCGTGTGGGCTGACAAAGGGGACTTGACTCCTGGCTGTGTGGGCAAAGGCTCTTGTGTTACCAGCCTTTGGGGGGTGATAAGCACTGTGGCTGTTATGTTGCTGTGAAATACAAAGCAAGTACTGATCTCAAGGTTTTAGTGCTTGGGTAGGAACAATAGAAGAGCAGATGGTCTGTGTTACCCAGAATTACTATGGATTTGGGACTTTGAGAGGCTGTGCAAGGCTGTGGGGTCCTCTGTCAAGGCTAGGTTCATGAGCAGTACAACTCCAGCAACCCGAGAGAAATAAGAGACAGACATGTGCAGTCAGGCTGTGTAGTAGCTTTCAGTAGTGGAGAGTAGGGGCTGAGATGCCTCCAAGCAGGGAGCTCAGCAGGCTGCCAGTGTGGTCCCCAGACACATAGGATCATCTGCTGCTGCTTTGTCTTTAGTGGTTCATGCTTGGTAGGCAGCTTTTCTTACTCAACATCATGAAAAGATTTGGCCACTGCCCACTGGTTATATTTTAATTCTTACAATTAATACTTGTGTACAAAATCAAAGGCATCACTGATATATTTCATAGCTCAAGACCAAATATTAATAACTATTATTCCAGAAAAACATGGTTATTTTTCTCTAAGGGCCTTTTTCCTCCCTTGTATAATTGCCTGGATCCTCAACAATGCACAGCCTGAGGAATGCTTGTGAAGCCATCCCTCAGCTTGCACTCTAGCCTCTTGGGAGGGCTCTCCCAGGGATGCTGAAGAGATGCAGAGTGGTATCCAGAGGGTTCAAAAGCCCGCTATTTAAACTAATCTCATCAGAAAGCAAAACTTGAGCATTGGCTGTAGATACAACATGGTGAAGTGGGAAAGAAGAAAGTGAGGAAGAGAGGAGTTTTTAGGAATAAGTCATTGCCCAGATTCAGAAAGTAGCCTTGCACTTTCTGCTGTGTCTAACAATCTAAACTAATTGAATTATTTTTTGGTGTTTAAGAAGATAAAAGCTGCATGTACATAGTACATTAATATATTGTACATGCTATCAGCCTTTCTTTCTCATTTCTTCTCCTGGAATCACGTTAATGTCACACAGCAGTACAGAAATGGTTACACCTTTCCCAGAAGTGTGGCAGAAAAAGACCTTAAGTCAACTTGTAGTGGAAGAGCTGGCAGCAAAATGTTACAGCAGTTCTACAAGACCCTCCTGTGCCCATGGAGAACCTCTGCCCAGGGGGGTCATTAGGAACACTGTACACAGATACCCTCAGACAGACTGCCCTCAGCTCCTCAGCCCCATTAAATTTATAGTAGGATATTTAGCAACCTACCATGCAAAAATACTTTTCTTTGACTACAATAAGTGGACCACCTTTTTTATTAATCCCTCCATGAACATTATAGCAATACTCACTTCATCCCTACTAGCTCTTCAAGTGCCAGATGCAAAATATGCTCAGACAGCAATAAATCAGAGACCAGCTTTACGCTCTTGGTGTTATTTCACCTCTGTTCTATGAGTAGAAAGTGACTGTAGAGATGAGAGTGTTCTGAGTTAGTCCTGCCGAAATTTTTGTCTCTTCCAGATAAGCCCTTAGTGGTTCAACTAGTGGACTGGATCTTGAGAGGGACCTCACAGGTGATGTTTGTCAACAACCCCCTCAGTGGACTGATCATTTTAGTGGGGATCTTCATCCAGAGCCCATGGTGGATGTTAACAGGTTGTACTGGAACGACTGTGTCAACATTAACTGCCCTGGCTCTCAGTCAGGACAGGTAGGTGGTATCTCACATCCAGGCACTTAATTAAAATTTATTCTTATGGCATCTGATGGGTCATAAGCCCATATTTCAGCATGTTGGAGGCAGCTGGCCAGATTTACTGATGACTTGGAAGCAGTTAGGTGAGGTCAGAGCTGTGGTCCAGAAGAGCTGACCTGTCCCCATAGCAGCTGTTGTGTGAGCAGGCAGTCATGTCTCTGATAGTCACTGTCACCACCATGCAGATCCTTTGGGTCACAAGGAGGCCCCTAGATGATAATCATTCAACATTCTCCAAACTCTCATCTTCCATACACCTATGCAACAGGGTCTGGAGCACAAGGGTGAGGAGGAGCAGCTGAGGGAGCTGGGGGTGTCCAGGCTGGAGCAAAGGAGGCTGAGGGGAGACCTTCTGGCTCTGCAGCTGCCTGAGAGGAGGTTGGAGCCAGGGGGGTCGGGCTCTGCTGCCCAGGAACAAGGGATGGGACAAGAGGAAATGGGCTGCAGTGGTGCCAGGGGAGGCTGAGATGGGATGTTGGGCAGCATTTCTTGCTGGCCAGGGTTGTCAGGCCCTGGCCCAGGCTGCCCAGGGCAGGGCTGGAGTCCCCATCCCTGGAGGGGTTTCCAAGCCGTGTAGATGTGGTGCTGAGGGACATGAGGCAGGGGTGGCCTGGGCAAGGCTGGGGGAAGGGTTGGGCTGGATGGTCTTAAAGGTCTTTTCCTACCAAAACAATTCTACAGCAACCTCATTGCTTTTTCATCCCTCCCCTATACTTCCTCCATCAGGAGTAGGACACTTATAAATTGCATTTCAGTGGATCTCCATGACAGGTCACCTTCAGCCCTGCTTGCCACTCTGCAAACATTTCTTTCCATCACAGATCAGTCATTGAAGCTGGACTGCATGGCTACAATGGGATCTTGGTAGGACTTCTCATGGCTGTCTTCTCTGACAAAGGGGATTACTACTGGTGGCTTCTTCTTCCTGTGGCAGTTATATCAATGGCCTGGTAAGTGTCACTTCTCCTCCTAGGAACAATTCTCCAAGAATGAGAAGTCCTGCTTTACAGAGCTTAAACAGATTGGAAATCCTCTCTGCCAATTCCCCTACACCAGCAGCTCCAGCCACGGTGGAGCTGGAAATTGGCATCCACTGATGCACAGAGCTGGGGAGGCAGGCTGGTGGGAGGTTGAGTGAGCAGTGGTCACAGCACACGGACAAAGCAATCCCATTTCTCTGCAGATAGTCCCCCTCAGCAAAGGTCATTTTTGTAATACCCTCTCCAAGCCCAGAACATGTTGCAAGAATGTTTAGTTTGTCGTATCTGCCAGAATTCCTTGAGGCCTTTTGTTCAAACATTTCTTCATTCTCTTAGTTCACAAGACTTGAGGGCAGAGAAGAAATATTTTAAAATTGGCATTTCAGTGATTTTTTCAACCAACACTTTGAATTTCATCTTTAGAAGTCAGCTTTCCCCTAATCGTTTTTTTATTATTATTTCTAACAAGATGTATAACTGGTAGAAGATTTGTATTTCAGCACAGAAATTAGGACATCATTTTCACTGAAGTGTTGATTTTTTTTCCTACAGCTACAATCAAGGAAATCTGTAAACTGCTCTGGGAATCAAATTTGTCATTAAAGACTAGGCTTCATCTGAGACTATAAAGGGAGAACAAAGCATTTTTTCCACTGATAATATCTGCACAACAAGACACAAGATGCTGCTTTTGAAATTACAAATAGTTGGTTTTTTGTTGTTCTTGGGATTTTTTTTTTTATTATTGTTAGAACCAGCTTAATGACCTTCTAGGACTCAAATGCAGCTTCCTGAAAGATTCCAGTCTTTAAACTGAGTTTTTATAAACTGTGGTGTTCACTGCAGGTTGGATGTTGACTGTAACTGTAACTGTAGCTTACTTACATCAGAAAAGCTCCGCTAGAAGCAGCAGAACACAGACCATTTCTATCTAGGACAGGACCTTACCATTCACTCTCTTCCACAAGCTTCCTGGGCCATAAAAACCGGGTAGTATTTTGCCAGGATGATTCCACAAAGTCACTCTTGCAGAACACCCACTTCAAGAGGAAATAAGGGAATCTGGGAATGTCCTGAGGAGAGCAGATCTGGTGAAGTACATATAACAGTTCTACAACCAAGAACTTTGGGAAAAGTCACACTATCTAAATGTTTGCATGCTTTTTAGTGTTCAGTCTCTAAATATTTTGAGACTTGCCTCAAATACTTTGCATGCTAAATACACAGAACCATGTTTCTTAAGAAGGAATCTCAGTTTTCAGAAAATGTCATATGATTTTGGGTGGTACTTGGGCAGCACACAGAACATCAGCTTCATTGACATATGCAGAAACATCAACCAAGGTCTGGGTTGTGCCTGGCACACCTTTCACAGCTCTGTTACAGTGGTGTCTGGGTCTCACACTGTGTTAGTCTTTGTATTTTGGACATTTTACAATGGTTTCTAGTGAGACGACATGGGGAAATGGATTAAAACTGGAGGAGGGGAGATTTAGGTGAGACATTAGGAGCAAATCCTTTAGTGTGAGGGTGGTGAGACACTGGAACAGGTTGCCCAGGGAAATTGTGGAAGCCCCATCCCTGGAAGTGTTGAAGGGTAGGCTGGACAGGGCTTGGAGCAACCTGGTCTAAGATGTCACTGCCCATGGCAATGGTGTTGGAACTGGATGATCTTTAAGATCCCTTCCAACCCAAACCATTCAAGGATTCTGTGATTCTATGATATGTCCTAAGGACTCTTCATTCCCGCAAAACAGTGTTTAGCATAGTAAATACTTCACATATTCCTTAATGGAAGCTTTTCCATCCTCTTTGATCACTTACTCTGCTTCATTTCTCTTCCAGAACTACCTTGTGATATCTTTCAAAATATTTAAAAAAAAAAAAAAAAAAAAAAAAGAGCAAATTAGGTAATTTTCAACTCCCTCTTGCTCCCTCAAGATGTCAGCTTTTTTAGACCACAGTTGTCCACAGGTCTTCACATGGCATTTCCAAAATTTGCTCTTCTGTTTCTTGTTCGATTTTCTGCTGAGTAAGAAGTCAGATTTCTCCATCCATGCCTAAATGCTGCTCTGGATGCATTTCTTCAGAGCCTCTCTGAGCACAAGCAGCAGTATGCTTGCTCATTATCCAGATGTCCTGAAAGAAGGGTGTGGAATTTACCCCACCCATGTATGGATGTGATGGTTGCTGCAGAAAGTTGAGCAGCATTCTGCAACCATTTGTCAGATGCAGACTAGTGTTTTAAAGGTATTCACTACCTGATGTTTCTAAAAGAAATGGTGTTGGTTTGCATTTACCAGAGCTCACAACCAAAGTGTTAGGTTGCTTTACCACCATAGTCGTTATGAACTAGTTGTTTCTCCTCTCCTTCTGTCCTCAGTCCAATCCTCTCCAGTGCTTTGGGATCTATCTTCAGAAAATGGGACCTTCCTGTTTTGACTCTGCCCTTCAATATTGCAGTGACTTTGTACTTGGCAGCCACAGGACATTACAACCCCTTCTTCCCTACAACCCTCATTAAGCCTGTGGCATCAGTGCCCAATATCACCTGGTCTGCAATCAATGTGCCACTGGTAAGTTCCAATCCAACAAGGTCATGCTATTTCATTAGAAAGGTGGGCATGATGGCATTCAGGATAACAAATTCACACTCATCAGAATGGTTATGTGAAATGTACATCCAGTAGCAATTCACAGGAATACATGGCTCAGTTCAGCCTGTAGAGGACATAAAAGCCCCAGGAAGAGGGATCTTGGCTGATCCAGCAGAAAAGCTGATGAAGCCTGAGGGAAAAGGGATGCTGAAACTCTCACTCCACCTAAAATTGGACTGCCCCAAAACAAATCTTGAGTGCTGTCAATGCAGAAGCACATCTGGATATGCACTCCTGCTGTCCAGATGGGGCTAAAATTACATCAGCAACACAGTCAGTGACAATATGAAAAGACAGAACAAATATCAGGATCTTGAGGGGACAGAAACTCTTTTATACCCAGTCCTCTAATTTCTAGACCTAGCTCTAGAGGATCATCTTCCCAAGGCAGTACAAGGATATCTGACATGCTTTGTACAGTACATAATAAACTCAAGTCAATCAGTCCCACTGCAGTATTATTGGTTATCGTTTTCTGTCTCACTAAAGTCATCTAAAAAATCTCAAAACAATGCCACCACCTGCCATCCACCATATTACCAGCCCAGAAGAACTGGTGAAGTTGGGCTGATGAAGCTCAAACCAAACAGTGAACTAATTCTGGTTCGAAGGGCATAAGTGCCCACATTTATCCCTCAGGCCCACTCGGACCCAGGGCTGCTTCCTTCCTTTCTAATCAATAACTTGGACAAAATAACTGCTGTGTCATTCAGAGTACATAGAAACAATAACATGCCCTTTTCTACTGGATGCTGCAGCTCTTGCAATCCATCCCAGTTGGCGTGGGTCAAGTGTTTGGTTGTGAAAACCCTTGGACTGGAGGCATCTTCCTTGTTGCTTTACTTATCTCCTCCCCACTTATTTGTTTACATGCTGCAATTGGATCAACAGTGGGAATGTTTGCAGGTAAGAAACATTTATCCAAATACTTTTTTAGCTAGAGTATCTTGACATTATATCTGACTCTCTCCAAACTTTAGTGTTGCATTGGGCTGGGACAACAGTCCCATTTTTGAAACTCTCTACATTTGGAATGTCTCTCTGAAGGTTACAACATGGTGAAGGCAAGAACAGAATCAGATTTTCTTCAGGCTTTGAATGTGTTACTAGATTTGTAACTCAGGCAGGTGGTTCATTTCACCTTGCTTAACACTCCTGCCAGTGGATACGATGAAACCCACAGAGATGATGACAAAGAAACCCAGAGAAGCATTTTCAGAACTGATCTCTTGCCACTACAAGTGTTTTAAATTACCACCACATGCAGATGTATGTCTCCGAGCTGATTAGTCATTGAAGAGAAGCAGACTTTTCTTGGGTGTAATTAATTCTATCCTGCTGCAGATTTGAAAAAAAAATAATAGTTAAATGTATGCCACTCACAATGCTCTATCTCTCCTCTAACCAGAGAAACAATCTTAAGTTAAGAGAGATGAACTTGACCCTTGAATTAGACAGGACTCATGGCACTTATTTGACCAATTGTAATAAAATAAGAAGAGTATTAAGTGTGGTCTGAGACCACAACCTTAAAAAAAGGGACAGCCATCCAACAATAAGTTTTCTGTGCTCTGGAGCACTTTGCACAAAGTGTGAGCTTCCTTGTATTTGTGTTTTTAAACAAATATGCCCACAATTTACATGGTTAGAAGTACTTTGCACATTTTGTACAAGTCTGACATTCAATCTAAAAGAAAAAGTTCAGGGGAAAGTATCTGGGGATAAACATGGCCACGAAAACAGAAGACAAATCAGGACACTGTAGCAGGAAATGTATTAATCTTACATTAATTATTAATCTCAGAAGTGGCATGAAGGTGGCCTGTGCACTACATATTGTGCTCTCCTTTTACTGGTACCCATCAAGTCTCTGAGAAATCCTGTAGAAGTACCTGTGAGGTCAATTTTGGAGCAGGTCCTTAGCTCCCAGCCCAGTGGAGAATTTCCACAGCAATGATGGAGTGACCATGTCTAGTATCTAGACAACATCTAGCAAAGGTCACTAGGAAGAGATGTAAAACCCTGCTTACTCCCACAAAAGAAAGTCAGTTGTGCCTCTGATATTCAAGATCTGAGTATGTATGAGAGTTAAACAGTACATGTGAGCACAGCTTTCTGCAAGAAGGACACCCAGGTGAGTAGGTCCTTCTAGACTCTGGATACTCCATCTGGTCATCTGGGGTACTAACTTCAACACACACAGAAAGTTTTGCCAGAAATGAACCTTTGAGACTGGGACAAATTCCAACATTGAGGATATTATCAGAGCTCAAAAAAAAATGAAATGTGATTTAATCTTTTTTCTGCACATGAATGTGATGTAAGTGTTAGTGCATGGTTAAATTCATCGAGAGGTCAAAGGGAAGAGGTGATGGATTCCCAGCAAGTGACAGATCCTCCTGCAGGTACATCTCCCTCCTGACCTCACAGCCTTGCCTTTTGTCTTGCAGCACTGAGCATTGCATCACCATTTGACAGCATCTACCTTGGCTTACACAATTACAACTGTGCGCTCGCCTGCATTGCCACCGGGGGCATGTTCTATGCCCTGACCTGGCAGACTCATTTGCTGGCACTTGCCTGTGGTACGTATCTTCAAGTGGTATCAAGTACCACTACCAAGTGGTATCTTTTACATAAAGGGAAGATTAAAATGTACGGAGCTAGACAGTCTATCAGTAGCACAGGTTTAGAGTCAGCTGTGACCTACCAATCTGCTGCAAAAGTAGGTGACATGCAAGAGCTATTTCTATGGTGGCATCAGAGTTGTGCTTGGATGTGCAAGCTGCAAGGGTAGAAAGAGGCCCTTTAGATCCTGATAACCTAAAAACCTCCAGAAGTACTCTTGTGAAAGGACCACAAGCTATGCCAGCAGTAGAAATTTAACAAAGCAGCAACTCAACAGATTCACAGAAGCAGCCTTGCCATAACTTTGTGCATAGAGGAGGTGTGTCATAAGAAGAGATCTATTGCACAAGGTCAGATTACAGTCCATCTATCCAAAGGCCCCATCTTCAAAAACAGACACTACGTGAAGACTCCCATTTTTGAACCTGTCTCTACATTTGAAAGGTCCCTCTGAAGGTCACAAAATGGTGAAGGCAAGAACAGAATCAGGTTTTCTTTAGGCTTTGAATGTGTTACTAGATTTGTAACTCAGGCAGGTGGTTCATTTCACCTTGCTTAACCCTCCAGCCAGTGGATATGATGAAACCCACAGAGATGATGTTAAAGAAACCCAGAGAAACAGTTTCAGAACTGATCTCCTGCCACCACAAGTGTTTTAAATTACTGCATGTCAATAGTTTTCTGTCCTGAGCACAGGACAGTTTCTGGATTTCTCAGTAACTTGCCCTTCCTTGACCTTGTCTTTGGGTGCTTTATCTCCTACTTGGCCTCCTCAGACACCCTGGGGCCAGGAGGCCAACTGCCAGTTGTTGGTGGTTTGAAGCTGCAGGACAGACACTGGTGGAGAATTTCTGTAGTCCTTCACTGCACACAGGTAAAGTCATTGCAACTGATAAAAGGAATAACATCACCTACTCTTGGCAAAACCACATTCCTCATTCACCAGATATCTCTGCAGGGCAGGTAGGAGAAGATGTTGCCCACGAGACTGGAGGCAGCATGGAAGTATTTTAACAAATTGTTTAATTCTAACACTAATCCTCACATTGGGTAGCTGGAAGGATACTTCACTATACATTTGTACAATATTACTATTTCTGATAAATATTTTCAAGACATGAGAAAGACTTTCCTCACGTTGAAATTTGTTCTCTTTTCTCAGCATTATTTTGTGCCTACTCCGGAGCAGCTCTTGCCAATTCCCTGTCTGTAGTAAGTTTGGGTGGGTTTTGGTGGGATTTATTATTTTAATTTTTTTTGTTACTTTGTTTCGAATGTGTTTTTATTTGTTATGATATAATGCTATGGAAGTGCCTCAAAATTCTCCCTGCCACTTTTTACAGCATTGAAGAGAAAATGCTGTAGGCAGTGGCAGGTCTTATACAAATTCTGTGTCAGCTGAATTTGTGCATTTGCAGACTCTATAACTGATAATAATATTTCAAACACCTTTAAAGCCTGCTGCCCACAGTGGGACTTAGCATGCACATGTGAAGTCCAGCAACAGCATAGGGCTTGAGATGCAATATTTAGTCACAGGCAATATTTCTTAACAATTTCCAATGTTTGAATTTTTATTTGCTTCTTCCAAAGTCTTTCTACCACCCTACTCACAGATATTATTTAAGTTTGATCTGGATTTGAGAACTGAAATGAGAAGGAGACTGTTCTTTTCAATACAAAATTGTCATATCTGAACAGAGAAGAGAGAAGTGAAGCCAGAAATGCCAAGCTTTGTTTTTTCTTTAAGTTCTGATAGATCAAAGCAAAACCACATTTTAATAAAATGTATTTAGTGGCTCAAAAGAAAAAAAAAAATAGAACTAGCAGTTTCATGCATTCAGTGTATTCATCTGGCACCTACTCAGTACTGTGCAGGTCTCTGCAGAAGGTTGCTTTGTTAAGCACACCTGCTTTTGGGATGTATCAGAAAAAAAAATGGACATCTACTTTTTCTCCTTGTGATCTTCTTTCTTTGTAGAACCTCAGTCAGGTCAAGAAGTGGGGTCACAGAGCAGGACTGAGAGTTGGACACAATGCCAGAAACACTTGGGCGTGGTGGGTGTGGAACTCCCAGTACATGACATTTTACAGGAGGGTAGGATTTGCCTCACATTTTAGAGAATTTAAATGTCTACACGTGAGCTGGGTGACTTGATTTTCATTACAGTCAAAAAAGCTCTAGAGCCTGATTCAGCTGCTTCAGTGTTGGTGCCAGCTGCCATTCAGCACCAGCAGCTGCCTCTCCAAAAGGACTGAGGTCTCCAATGCAGGATGCCTTACATAGGCCCATACATTTCAGATAAACTAGACACATCTGTGTGAACAGCTGAATTGGCATTTTGGTAGAAGAGGAGCCTCCCATACCTCCAGAGACCAGCAAGAATCTAGCTCACATATAGGCCCCACCATATAGCCACCTGCATCTTGGGCATCCTCCTCTGGATCCAAATGCAGGACCCTGTACAGGAGTTTCAGGAAAGTATGTCCAATGTCACAGTGTCCACAGGGAAAGCCCAGGCTCTCCCACCTTCTCACCTAGTTCAGCAACAGGTAAAAATAAGTATTGAATCATAGACTCAGAGAGTACTTTTTATTGGAAAAGCCCTTTAGGATCATCAAGACCAGCTGTTCCTTCAGCAGTACGCAGTGGCAACATTGAAAAAGAGGTACCAAAATGCACCTAATCTGTCTGTCCTTTTCCCTGCCAGCTTGGGCTGCCACCCTGCACCTGGCCTTTTTGCTTGTCCACACTTCTCTTTCTGCTGATAAGTTCAGAAAACTCAGCCATCTACAGAATCCCCCTCTGCAAAGTCACCTACCCAGAAGCCAACCGGATTTTCTACCTCAGAATGAAGAGAAGAGCATCAGAGAGCAGGAGAGAAGAGCTGAAAAGAAAGGAGCAGAAGATCTCCATCGACTCAAAAATAAGCACAGGAGGCACCCCCCTGTGCACCCCCAAAATCCGCCACGCTTACTGATTTCAGATATCCACCACTGCACATTTTGGGGGGCAGTTTTTCAAGGGCTAGTCAAGTACACCATGGCCACAAACAACAGCTTTGGCAGAAGTCTGCAGACTGATGATTTAGCATCCCACACTCTGGAGGAAACATGATTTGACCTTGAGCTAACCTTTCCAAAAAGCTCTCAGATAACATAACAGCTGCCTTATCAATCCATATGCTGTTAACTTGAAAGTCACCTCTTATCAATAATAATTATAAAAATGGGCAGAAGAATGCTGACAAGAGGCTGTACTTAAATTCAGATGTGTAATTTAACAAAATAAATATGCTGAGGACTTGGTATCTAAGAATAATAAATAATGTAAGAACTATGTCAAGAGCTGCACTTTAAACTAGGAACATATATATATTTGAAAGTGGAATAAACAGACTGATCTATTCCTTTCTTGTGTACCATCAGTGTCTAACCCACTAAATCCTTCTTGACAGCTACAACACACACAGGCAAATAGTCTTACAGAGTGCATATTACTTTTGGTTCTATCTCCTGTCTCCTCATTAAGAGCAAAGACAATGGGGATGTAAATATAAATGCTTTAATCAGACTAGAAAAGTGACTAGCTAGCAATGATTAAACGTTTTTCTTTACCTTGCATAATTTTCTGTTTTACAAATGGAATATTTCTCTCATACAGAATGCAGGATAGCAGGTGTGAATCCCTACATTAACCCAGTGGGAAACAGCACTTCATGTAAATAATGAGGTAAACATTTACTGCTGGTGGCAGTTGCTGCAGTTCTTTCTGTCCCCTTCCCAAAGGAGCAGTTCTCTTGCATTAAGCCACAAGCAATGAACAAGTCAAAGGCTCTCGTTGATGTTGGGTGTCTGACTGGGATCTTCATATGAGTCTTCAGTTTCCCCACCTGGAGAAACCTCATGAGGCATCATCAGAGTTAATGATGGGAAATCTGATGTTCCTCTCCCCAGGGGTGTGTTTTTTAACAAGGTGCAAGAAGGACATGGTCACTTTATGCTTCCTCCAAGTCCTTATAACAGGAGGGGCCAATTGCCCTAGAGAGGACTTTCCTTGAGAACCTTTTCCAAAACCTCTGCCAAAAAAAACCTTGCAGAAAGATGTTCTCATTCTGAAGTGGTTTCACACAATCAGTTTAAAATCAGATTTAAAACACAAAGAGACTGTATAACCACAGACATTCAGGTTAGCTACTATTTCTGTCTCTTGATGCAAGGGTGTTTTACAGATTCGTTTGAAGGTCTTTGAGGAGGTAGGAGCCCAGCTCTCACCCAGAACAGAGACCCTTTTAAAAGAGGAGAGCCTGGGTGCTGCTCTTGTGACCATTTGTGCCTTTATACCAACAACAATTATCAGCTCATCTAAACATCCCCTTGAAGGACCATCCAAAATTAAAACCAGCCAACATGACAAAAATCAGGCACTGTATTAGTGTGTTTAGATGCTTTTTTAACAAGCTTGGTGATTCCAGGAACTCTGGCAAAAATTGGTCTTCTACTTTCTTCTTTATCAGGATGATGACAGATTTGAGATTCCAGCTGGCAGGACAGCCTCATACATGCTGGTAAGTTCCAACTTCATTAGCCAAGATAACTCTGTCATTGAAAATTCAGGGATCTAGTGAGATATATAGCCCTTATAACCTGGCCCACCTTCAGACTTGAGTACCTGTGTTACGTCTTTGTCCCATTTCACACCTCAGGCTGACCTCTGAAGTTGACCTTAAAAACACCCTCCAGGAAAGCACTGAGGGAGTGAGCTGACATTTCCACATACTACAAGTCTTCTGGGATATTAATAAATATCCCAACAGTCTGCCTGACATGTTAACCATGAGACTTTGGTTGGCCCAGGGAAAACTAGGAGGGATGGGACAGCAGCTGACCACTCTCTACTGGAGGGAGGAAGATCTGGCAGATGCACAACTTCAGCAATCAGGAAATCAAACACACTGTAATGGTCAAAACTTCCCATGCAAATCACAGCAGCCTCCTGGAGATACTGAGCTCTAACAAGCAGCAGGAACCCAGAGGCAAAGGTATATTTCTGTAACACAGAAAAACACAGGTATACTTCACCATAACAAGGAATGAAAACTGCTTATTTAGGAGAAACAGGTTGTTTGCAGAAAGCAACCCATGACCCAGGCACTGGACAGGGGCAGCTGACCCTTTAAGGTATCACAGAGGTCTGCTACAAATGGATCTACCATCATTAAAGGGCATTTCTAGGCTGCAGTTGCAGCTGCTTATTCCAGACAAAGCAACAGGGGACAAAGAGACCATCAGAAAAGGTGCCATCAGTCAGGGAAGAATGTGCAGAGCCACAGGAGAAGGAGCTGCCAAGCTGCCCTTGGAGCCATTAGGTTAAAAAGCAATGGTAAAAAAGCATGCTGGTAAAAAAAGCAGTCTGGTATAGTCAGTACAGACCACAGGATCAGGAACATCCTAATGTTACTGCTGCTTTAGAGAAACACAGAAAGGCAGAGTAACCCATTCGCTGATAGAAAGCTGTGTGACTACCTTCCTTCTGTAGCAGTCAATGAAATATTAAGCACATGCAAACTAGAAAGATCTACTCATCTGCTCTGCACAATTTAATTTAGCTCATACACAAAACAACATTAGAGAAAGATTTAAATTGTAGCAATGCACAGTTACAAAAACACTATAATAGGGTCAGCTAAAATAATGACATAACCATATTTTTGAAGAAAAACCTCAACTATGGTTAGTTATGCCAAGCATATTTTTTGTTTTGTTTTGTTTCTTAAATAAGAGTGAATTCCAAGTGCAATATTGGAAAGAGTTTGTCATACAACATCCATTGCTGACATTAATTCCTCAGCCACAAGGAAATCCATCCCGAAATCAATTAGTAAAGCAATTTCTGGAGTTGAAGCCATCCATAAAACATAGGGCATAACAGCTTTATTAAGTCTCTAGCTAATCAAAAGACTTGAGTAACTGTAGCCAGTACATTCTTGAAAACAGCCAAGACAAATCAAGTGTCTCCAGGAAGGGTGCATTAGACACTAAAAGCACAAACTGAAGGCATCAATGGTATCCCCAACAGCTTGCTGTCTATTGAGTTATATAGAAAATTTTCATTAAAAGAAATAAGAAATACAATTTTCATAGAGTCACAGAATCACAGAATCATCGTAGTTGGAAAGGACTTTGGAAATCACAAAGTCCAACCATAACATAAATCCCCCAACCATGACCTAATATACCCGTTCAGTGCTTAAATCATGTCTCTAGCTCTATATCTATATTTCTTTTAAACACTCCCAGGGAAGGTGACTCCCCCACCTGCCTGGCCAGCCTGTTCCACTGTCCAACCACTCTTTTGGTAAATAAATTCTTTCTAATATCCAGTCTAAGCCTGATGCAGCTTCAGGCCATTTCCTCTCATCCTGTCATTATTCACTTGGGAGGAGAGCCCAACTCTCACCTCCCTGCAACCTCCTTTCAGGTAGTTGTAGAGAGCAATGAGGTCTCCTCTCAGCTTCCTCTTCTTCAAACTAAACAATCCCAGTTCTCTCAGACTCTCCTCATGGGGCTTATTCTCCAGGCCTTTCAACCAGCTTTGCTCTTCTCCTCTGGACCTGCTCCAGCACCTCAGTGTCCAGAAATGGACACAGGACCTGAAGTGAGACCTCACCAGTGCTGAGTACAGGGGCACAATCACCTCCTTTCTCCTGCTGGCCACACTACTCCTGATGCAGGCCAGGCTGTCACTGGCCTTCTTGGCTCATGTTAAATCAGCTGTAAACAAGCACCCTCAGGTCCTTCTCCACCATGGAGCTTTCTAACCCCTCATCCCCAGGCCAGTATCTTTGCACGGAATGGGAGATTTTTAGACAGTTCCCAAAGATCTAACTTTTAAAAAATGCGCTGATTAAAAAAAATTTAAAAATTAAAATTATTTTAAAAACACACACACACACACCAAAAATCTGTGCTCTTTGAGGCAGTGTTCCCCGCTCTTCTCACATAGAACTAGTTACTTCTGTCAGTCATGGAACCATTCACAGGAAAAGCTGAAGCACAGGCTTCAGGTGTCCTGGCTTAGGTATCTATGTCTCCAGAACGACTTACTTGTTAATTACTCTTCATGACCAATTAGCAAATCTGTGCTGAGGGAACATGAAGGGGAGGGATTGGCCTTCTCAGTGAACATTAGAATAGAAATACAGGACTGATAGAAACATTTTTACTGGAAAAGACCTTTAGGATCACCCAGCCCAACCATTCCCCCAGCCCTGCCCAGGCCAGCCCTGCCCCATGTCCCTCAGCACCACATCTACACGGCTTGGAAACCCCTCCAGGGATGGGGACTCCAGCCCTGCCCTGGGCAGCCTGGGCCAGGGCCTCACAACCCTGGCCAGCAAGAAATGCTGCCCATCCCATCTCAGCCTCCCCTGGCACCACTGCAGCCCATCTCCTCTTGTCCCATCCCTTGTTCCTGGGCAGCAGAGCCCGACCCCCCTGGCTCCAACCTCCTCTCAGGCAGCTGCAGAGCCAGAAGGTCTCCCCTCAGCCTCCTTTGCTCCAGCCTGGACACCCCCAGCTCCCTCAGCTGCTCCTCCTCACCCTTGTGCTCCAGACCCTGCCCCAGCTCCCTTGCCCTTCTCTGGACACGCTCCAGCCCCTCCATCTCCTTCTTGTCCTGAGGGGCCCAGAACTGACCCCAGGATTCAGATTAGTCATAGCAGAGGTCAGAGCCCTGCTGCCTTCCAAACTGGAGCACCCTAGTAGCTGCAGCATGATGTTTACCACCTTATTCCTTCATCAGATGACTGAACAACACCTTCATGCACTACTGGGGTCCAGAACAGATGGAAGTAGCAGTACAGAGGGAGACCACTATAAGAGGTGCTGACACCTCTCAGCCCAGGGAGGGACACACAAAGCTGGAGGGCTAGAAAGCCTGCTGCTATTCTTTCAAACACTGATGTGAAGAAGCAGCTGCAACACTGTGTAGGAAACAAGAGCCAGGCAAAGCTCTGGTTAAAGTCTCCACTGAGCAGGTCTTCTTGTTGGCCTCCACACTTAAGGTGAGCCTCATCACAAGCTGAAAAAGTCAAAACTTTACAACACATCCAAATAAGGGGCAGAAATAAGGTTTCACAAAAGGGTGGAACACCTTTCTATGAGGACAAGCTGAAAGAGCTGAGGGTGAGACTGTTCAGCCTTGAGAAGAGAAAGCTCCAGGAGACCTTATTTTGGCCTTTCAATACTTAACAGCAGCTTATAAGAAAGATGTGGACAGACTTCTTAACAAGGTCTGTAGTCATAGTACAAGGGGTGATGATTTCTAACTGAAAGAACAGAGATTTAGCCTAGATGTTAGGAAGAAATTTTGTGCAATGAGGGTGGTAATAGACTGTCCCAGGTTTCCCAGAGAGGTGGGAGATGCCCCATCCCTAAAAATATTCCAGGTCAGATTGGACAGGGCTCTGAGCAACTGAATCTAGTCCTTGCTCACTGCAGGGGGGTTGCAGTGGATGGCCTTGCAAGGTCCCTGCCAACCCAAACCATTCCATTATTCCATGATTCTGTGATAAGTCCCTAAGATTTCAATGTGCTGGGAAATGGTTCTGTCTTTTGACCATGCCAGATATCTCCAGTATGCAATGATAGCAGCAGCACTTGGGGCTGATTTACGTTTTTGTAGATCACTTTTATTAGGGTTACAGGAAATCCACCACTCTGAGAGCAAGATCTGTTTGCCAAAAACTGTTCCCTCTCTCCCTCTTCAACAGAAGGGTGTGTTTTAATTTGGAAGATAGAAGGAGTTCAAACAGGAATCCTTTGTTGCAGTTGATTTTACAGTTCTCAGGGGGTTTTCTACAAACTCCTGCAGCTGATTCCACAGCTGGAATTCACTCATCCCATAGCTCTATGGGAAGCAAAGGTTTCTTCCACCACATTTTCCCTGTGAATGAGTAGAGACCTTAGGGATCTCCAAATACAGCTCATCAGCTCCTGAACACACTCAATTACCTCAGTGCTTTTAGTAGCTTGAGCTGTCATGGAGCTGCATCCACACATCCTTCTCCAGGGACAGCCCTTTGCCTAGAGGTTTGAGTCAGACCCAAATCCATGCTCTCACAATGTGCCGCTTCCCTCAGCACAACAGGGATGAAGCACAAAGTACATGCAGACCCCTGACAAAAACGTGCCTCACCCACTCAAAATCCACAGGGGTGCAGCCTGCAGAGCACATCTCAGCAGCTGCAAATCAAATTGTGCCGTGTCTTGAATTGCAAAAGACAGACAGAGACAGACCTGACCTCTGCAACTTAGGATGATCTGAAGCCTTTTTTTCCTTCCCTCCAGGGCATCCCAGCCTGTACCTGACCCCACTTCTCCACACTTCCCCCAGTTCAGCTCAGTGCTGACAGTTCTGTCACTCCGTCATCCACAAATCTCTGCTCTGCAAAACCACTCAGCCAGAAACCAGGCAACGATTCCCTGGCTGTGGAGAAAACCAGGGAGGCAAAGATGATGACAAACTATCAGCCAGGAATGGTTTTTTGCTGCAGCTGAATGAGTT